TTTACCAACCTAAACAGAAACATGACCTATAAACACAAGGCACAGATCACTCTTTGATGTTCCTCGTGTCATCTCATCACTATGCAAAACTCAATGCACATAAAGGCCCTAAAATCTGGAATTCATTACTGTAAATATAAAAGAAACACTACCTGTTTATATATTCTAGTGCTCTTCTCAAAGATCAGTTACTCACCAAAACCAAATAAAGTATACTGAATAAGTGGAACCTTATAAATTGTAATCTTAAATGTTTTTCTCACGGATTATATCACATAAATGTTAAACCTTAAAACCAATCTAACTTTATTATTTTTTAAATACACTATCTAAACTGAATACTCCATACGACTGAATGTACAACAATGCATGCAACCATATGACCTGTCTTTGTAATACTCACTTGTGCTTTATAGTAATCTGTTTACATTAATGTTTTATCACTGAATTTCCATCAATTGCTTAGTTAATCTTAAGTTAATTTTAAGCCAGCCCATATGGCTGTGCATGATAAGTGGCTTTGGCATGCTGCTCTTATTTGTATTTTTTTGTACCTCTGTATGTGTGCTCAAATTGTTAATAAATAAATAAATAAATAAATCTGCCTCAGTGGGAAATGGCCAGTGTGTTAAAAAAATATGATTCTGAAGGTTTATGAATGTTTGATGTAAATGAATGCTGGATAGTCTCTTTAAGTTGTTTTATACAGGTGTTTTATATAAAATGAGCATTCATAAGTTGAATAATTTTTGAAAAGCATAGGTTAGGTAAGAAAATGCTGTCTAATGAACATGACTCTCTTTGCTTAGCAAGAAGAAAGGCTGTGAGCACTTCTTTTGCCCACCAGGCCATTCTCAGGCAGATTAAAAAACTGTGACATATACTTCCCAGATTTGTCGGTGTTAATTTTTTATATTTAAAACACATAATATAAATATTTTTACCATACTGTTAGAATGTGTTGATGACACTTTTTGAATCATACAGCAAGAAAATCATGTAACTGTAAAAGGATTTACTATATATCCTTGCCTGTTTTCTGGATTACAGTCTTAATTTAATCCATCCGTGCTGATTTATCCTTTATCCTTATTCAAATTGTCTCATTCCCTTCCTTCAGACTCACAGTTGGCTCTTCTCTTCTGACAAATCTTATTTCTACCTTTCATTATTATAATTTAACAACTCTTTAAAATATTCTCTCAGTCTTTTCAGTGCCTGTTTCCTCATTTAATATCTCGCCACTTTCAACTCCCACATCTGTTTCTTTTCCAGGCATTTTAATTTTTGTAGATATATTAAGCATAAAAGCAAATTCAGTGGAACCTTGACTTACGAGTGTCCCAACATACGAGTTTTTTGAGATATGTGCAGTCCGTGGGTCGATTTTTTGCTCTGAGTTATGAGCCAGCTCCCCCCTGCTTCCCCCTCAACCCAAAACCTGGGTGCCTCGCTTGTTTATCTATGATTTCATGCTTTAATTCCATGGAAATCATCCTCTTTTTCTTCTCAGCACTGTCCTTTACACTTACTTTCTCAGGACCCATGCATAGGAAAAACGAAATTTGGCCAAATGACTGTCAAAAATGTAAGCAAAGCATGAGAGAACTGCTCCCACAGTGAGGTAAACAGTGCACTGAGTTGGCGGTGTTCGTTATTATTTTTTTTATATGGTGCACACTGACCACACAGACCCATTTCTTCACATGTGGGCTATCAGCTTTCTCCTGCTTGATTTGAACCCAAAATTATTCACATTCGTCAAACACGGTACCCTCGTAAGACGTATATATACGACCTCAACAGTCAAAGGGTTAATAACAATAATAATAATAATAATAATAATAATTATTATTTATAGTAGTAGTAGTAGTATATTATTATTATTATTATTATTTTTTATTTTATTTTATTATATTATCGATTCATCAAGCATTATATATATTATTTCAATCATTATCATTATGTCTTGCATATTTTATACTTATTTTTTAACTGGGCCCAAACATTCCCTTAGATATATATATAAAAAAAGCCGCACTCCACCCAGAACTCCAACAGGTTCCTTGATGCTGATGAGGGGCTCTTGATTTAGGGAATTGGATCTGTGCTCCAGTTCCCTAAATTAATATTTTATTAACACACTGGCCGATTTCCACCAACGGCAGGGTGGCCCGAAAAAGAAAAACTTTCATCATCATTCACTCCATCACTGTCTTGCCAGAGGAGTGCTTTATACTACAGTTATAAAACTGCAACATTAACACCCCTCCTTCAGAGTGCAGACACTATACTTCCCATCTCCAGGACTCAAGTTTGGCCTGCCAATTTTCCTGAATCCCTTCATAAATTAATAATAATAATAATAATAATATAATATAATAATAATATAATTTAATTATTATTATTATTATTATTATTATTATTTTATTATTATTATTATTATTATTATTATTATTATGATAGAGCTTCAGTTACCTAAATTAACCCTTTGACTGTCGAGGTCGTATATATACGTCTTACGAGGTACCGTGTGTGACGTATATATACTCATAAATTCTAGCGGCTTCAAATCAAGCAGGAGAAAGCTGGTAGGCCCACATGTGAGAGAATGGGTCTGTGTGGTCAGTGTGCACCATATAAAAAAAATCCTGGAGTATGCAGTTCATAATGAGAAAAAAAAAACTCCGACCGTTTTTTTTTTAATTAAAATGCCGAATTTGTGATCTATTTTTGTATAGTATTTATGGGTGTGTTCTTGTTTTCTTAATCTCATTTGATAGAATGGAAAACATATTATAGAAATAGAGGTGATTTTGATTGATTTTACTATAAAAAGAACCTGGAAATGGAGCTCAAAGTAGGGGAAATGTTTGATTTTTGCCGATGTTGAAAAGTAAACAAATGATGTCATTGTCCAATAAATGTCCAACCAGCCATTCTAATATGCAGTCATGAATGGGTTGATGTTATTTATACAATTATTACAGTATTGCAGTAGTTGCATAACAGTAAATCTTCTATTTTTTGTTTGAATAAAAATTCAAAATAGAAAGCAAGAGTAATATCAGAGGGGCTTGGAGACGTGACTGATGAACAAAGAAAATGTTATTTTAGAGTCAAGAGTGTTTGCATTGTTCATTCTGGACCTTATTTTGAAATTGTCATATTTTTTAATTTTCGTGAAATTGGCCAAATTACAAATTTCTGACCACTTACTGGGTAGTTGAAATCGGTAAATGGGCAGTTTCTTGTACTCAATCGATAGAAAAAATGGAGTTCTAAAGAAAAAGCTATGAGTTAGTTCGACTGGAACAATGGAATTAACCGAAAATAGGGCTCAAAGTGGGCGAAATCGCTGATTTGTAAATATCGCCGAGGTCGCTAACTTCGTGAGAGCGTAATTCCGTCAGTTTTCCATCAAATTTCGTGTTTCTGGTGTCATTACAATTGGGAAAAGATTCTCTATCATTTCATAAGATTTTTTTTTTTTTTTTTTTTTTTTTTTTTTTTTTTTTTTTTTTTTTTTAAATTTTGCGACACCAGGAGACACTTCAGGATTGGGGGTTGCGACAGTTAAGGGGTTAATAATAATAATAATACATAATACGTACGTAATAATAACTCAGAATGCTGCCGCTAGTTGGCACAACTGATGCCAAAACATTGGGTAAGCAGTTTACATGTTTACATCACTGTGGGAGCATTTCTCTCGTGCTTGCTTGCATTTTTTTTTACAGTCATTTGGCCAAATTTCTTTTTTCTAACTATGGATCATAAGAAAATAAGTGCAAAGGACAGTGCTAAGAAGAAGAAGATGTTGATTTCCATGGACTTAGCCAGGCAATACCAGCTTAATACACCTCTGATATGTAGATACTAAAACTGTATCAGTTATGTTCAATGATTAAACAAAACAAATTGTATCAGTTAAGTTCAGCGATTAAACAAAACAATGTTGTTGTTGGAGGTTTACAGACCCACTGACATCATATGCCACATCCTCAACCTCCCCCACCCTCAACCTCCCCCACCCACACCATCCCCCACCCTCAACATCCCCCACCCTCAACATCTCCCACCCTTAACATCCCCCACTCTCAACCTCAACCTCCCCCACCCTCAACCTCCCCACCATCAACATCTCCCACCCTCAACATCTCCCACCCTCAACATCCCCCACTCTCAACCTCCCCCACCCTCAACCTCCCCCACCCTCAACTTCCCCACCCTTAACATCCCCCACCCTCAACCTCCCGCACCATTTCTGCTCCAAGTATGTAAGTACATATACGCTTTATATAAACAGTTAATTATTTCTTTACATTCTGTAGTGTATTATAATATATTATGTGTTTATATACAATATTTTCCATGATTTCCTTGGAAAACTAGTGATCTACTGCAGTTAGCCTAAAAAATACTCCATCTTCTCTTACAGTAAGAGCATGGGAAGATACTATGTAGTCAAAGTTGGACAAGAAATGGCAGATGCTTCTGCCACTGCCACCATATTATGGCCTAATTTATTCATTCTAGAGTACTATATATCACGTTTCTGTGTTAATTATATTGTTTATCATGTCATATTAGATGAATTGTGATGGATAAATAAGCCGTACAGTTGTTAATAGTGTCATATTCAAGTATTTTTTCTCATCTCTCCAGAGGGCAAGAACGGATTTATGGCTTTTCAGTTAATTTAAATGAGGAAAATTAATTTGATATATGAGTAAATTGAGTTACAAGCTAGCTCCTGGAACGGATTAAACTCATAAGTCAAGGTTCCAGTGTATTTGTTTTCCATAACCAATTCTGATTTTTTAACATATTAGCCATTTCCCACCATATTAAATTTTATTTGTTTTAATTTGGTAGAATTTGTGCCATCTTTTAACATTACTCATTGGTACATTCTTCTGTAGTTAGCAAGAAAGTTCAATTTATTCTATTTATAAATTAAATGAATCTCCTAAATAAAATTTGCTTATTAATTTCAGGTTTCTTCCTCCACTTGCCAAGCAAGCATTAGACACCACTCTCAAAAATCAGGGTATAGTCAAAAGCAGCAATTTGAAAAATGAAGAACTTGCATGTGAAGTAAGCAATGGTGTGTTGAAGATTGGCAATACTCATTCTCCAGTCTATGTGCCTGACACCAAAACCAAAGTTCCTGATATCCTTTTCTTTGACATTCAGCAGGTAGGTATTTTTATTCATGATTGCCAACAAACAAAAAGACTGTTATACATGTCATTGAATATAAAAATATGTATATAATGTCATGATAATTTATATTTTTAAATATATCAGACATTTTCCACTAAGGTAATGTGGCCTGAGGAAATAAACACAACAAGGGATCCAACAGCATTTCTTGTGGAATGCCGTAGACTTATGATTGATACCAATTCTGATTCCACATTATTTATCCACACTCCTGGATTCTTATTAGTCAGCCATTACCATCAAGAGGGTGCTTTGAAAGGTGCTAAAGGCAATAGATCCAAAAAATTAGATCTACCCTTCCCTTTTCATGGATGGAATTTGATTGTCTTCCATTCCCCAAGGCAATGTATGAACCCCTACAGGTTTAGCTTTCCCTCATACCTTGATCTATGGGAGAAATTTTTCTCCTGTGTTACATAGCACAAAGTCATTCAGAATTTGAAAGGGAAATAGATGAGACTCATGCAAGCAGCACTTGGACATGAATCCTGGTATGTGTTATTCACTGTAAAGAGAGATGTAAGTTACCATTAGCAAGATTACTCCGTGTTCTTTGGAGAAGTTTATATTCAAGTGAGGTCCCAAGAGGCCTTAAAATGTGCATACATAATTCCTCTTGACAGAGGGAGCAGCAGAACAGCTGCAAACTACTACTGACCAGTAGCACAAGCATCACACACACAAAATATTTACAAGTTATGAGAGGCCAGAGTACTGGCTTTAGGAAGAAATGTGAGCTATATTACACAAACCAAACTATCATGGCCTAGCAGGAAAATCTTGCCTATCTTAACTATTAGATAACTATGACAAAATTATGAAGGCTAATGTAATCTACACAGATATTGCAGCAGAACTTGACCGATGTGATTATGGAGTAATAGTTTATAAAACAAAGTTAATGTGTATAAAAGATGTTTGAAGGGGGGATATTCAAATTTCTAACATATAATCCACAAAATGTGGTAGTAAACAACACAGACATCTTTACTCAACAAAGAAAAAAGTTGAGCACCCCAAGACACTGGCCTAACACTATTACTGTTTCTTATCCTCATAGTAGATAAAGACAAGAACACTAACAGCAGGTACATATCTTTTTCAGACAGTACCAAAAAAATTATCAAAGATGTCTGATTGTCAGCATGTTTCTGACAAGACAGTGATTGAATGAATAAAAATGAATGTTTCCCCCTTTTTTTTATCAACTCTGTCATGGTGGGAGACATCTGGCATGTTAAAAAAAATTTGGCTGTGTAGGATATTTATAGTTGGGGTTGTAAAAGAAATGAATGCTAGGGTGTTGGGAAGGAATATGGGATTAAACGATGTTGGATCTGATGCAAAGTGGGAGCTATCACAGCTGCTATTTAGCTGATGACAGTTTATTTTGAGGATTCTGAAAACAAGCTACCAAAGTTGGTGGATGAATATGGGAAGGTATGTAAAAGAAGGAAATTAAAAGTGAGCATAGGAAAGAGCAAGGAAATGAAAAATAACAAAAATTAAGTTTGTCCAAAATGCTCTGTATAAAGAGGCTTTTAGCATGTTCATCCAGTTCTTATACTCCTTTGTATACTGTATCATGCTGAAATAAAATTATCATTATTAAATTTGTTGAAAATAGCCTGAAAAGTCAAAAGAAGTAACTTAACCCTTTCAGGGTCCAAGGCCCAAATCTGGAGTCACGCACCAGTGTCCAAGAATTTTCAAAAAAAGCATTTGTTATTTTTTCTTATGAAATCGTAGAGAATCTTTTTGTGAAGGTAATAAAACAAAAAGTACGAAATTTGGTGGAAAATTGACGAAATTATGCTCTCGCGAATTTTGATGTGTCAGCGATATTTACGAATCGGCGATTTTGCCGAATTTGACTCCCATTTTAGGCCAATTACATTATTCCAGTCAACCAAATTCTTAGCTATTTCACTAGTATTACTTCTATTCTATCGATTGAGCACAAGAAATCGCCAAGTCAACTGTTTCAACTACAAAATAAAGTGATCGGAAATTGTTAATTTGGCCAATTTAACACAAAGTTCAAAATATTCCAATTTCAAAATAGGGTCCAGAATGAACAATGTAGGCATTCCTGGCACTAAACTAACATTTCCTCTGTTCATTAGTTATGTTTTGAGGCTTTACAAATAAATTCCATTTTGATTTTTTATTCACATAATGAATTTTTATTCACACCAAAAAATAGAAGATTTGCTGTTATGCAATACTGTAATAATTGTATAAATATCATCACCATATTTGTGAATGTATATTAGACCCACCAGCTGATGTGTATTAGACGTGTGAGGTCGTTTGTTTACTCTTGAATATCGGCAAAAATTTAACATTTCTGCTACTTTGAGCTCAGTTTCAAGCCATTTCCAGTGCTAAAACCAATTAAAATCATCTCTATTTCTGTAATATGTCTTCCATTCTATCAAATGAGACCAAGAAATCGCAAATACAACTATAAAAAATATACGAAAAAACACTGCAAAGTTGCTGTTTTAATCGAAAAATCATGATTTCATTTTTTTTCTCTCATTATACACAGTGTGCTGCAGGATCTGTTTTATGTGGTGCACACATACCACATAGATGTATTCTCTCATATCTAGGCCCAAATGTACCACTCACAGTTTATCAGAGTGAGCTGAGCTCATGGCGTAGATCTACGGTTTGGACCCTGAACGTAAAGCCGTAGATCTACGGGACGGACCCTGAAAGGGTTAATCATACCATAAATTCTAACTGCTTTTGCTTGTTGATATGCAAGTGTATAATAATAATAATAGTAATGTTGTTGTTGTTGTTGTTGTTGTTGTTGTTGTTGCTGTTGCTGTTGTTGTTTGTTGTTGTTGTTGTTGTTGTACACTTGCATAACAACAAGCAAAAGCAGTCAGAATTTATGGTATGATTAAGTCACTTCTTTTGACTTTTCAGGCTATTTTCAACAAATATAATTGCTTTTTTTAATTTCAAATGAACATAACCCTAATTTTTATAAGTTTTCACTTTGAATAATATTAATTTGAGTAGATCAATAATATTTAGGAACATAATACTCGGCATTGCTTGAAAGTCTTCTATATCTAAATACAACCACTTCCTCCATACTCTATTCTTCCAATTTCAGATTCAGTGAATCATTATACCTGGTGGTCATAGACTGTGGCCCAGTCTATGACCTGGCCTCGCAGTGGATCAGGGCCTGACCAACCAGGCTGTTACTGCTGGCTGCACATAAACCAGCATACAAACCACAGCCTGGCTACTCAGGAACTGACTTTAGGTGCTTGTTCAGTGCCTTCCTGAAGACAGCCAGGGGTCTATTGGTAATTCCCCTTATGTTTTCTGGGAGGAAGTTGAACAATCTTGGGCCCCTGACACTTATTGTGTTGTCTCCCATCTTTATTGAAGAAACGTTTTGCCACACAGTGGCTTCATCAGTTCAATACAAAGTAGAAATGGGTAAGGAGAGGAGGAGATTGAGGTAATCAGTCCCTCAACCTGGAATCGATGGTTCAGTCCATCATTCTTGTAGGAAGTGCAGCATAGGGCCATAGAGGTGGCTTATATACTGCAGTCAGGTGAGTCGAAGCAGGAGGACTGAACACATTGATTCCAGGCTGAGGGACTGATTACCTCAATCTCCTCCTCTCCTTACCCATTTCTACTTTGTATTGGCCTGATGAAGCCACTGTGTGGCAAAACATTTCTTCAATAAAGATTGCCATATGTTGCATAAGTGTACTTAGCTCAGAGGTGACCTGTACTTAGCTCAGTGAGGACGTGTCGAGTATGCTCTCTACGGACTGAACCAAGATGCCCTCCATCGAGCAACTTTACCAACACTTAAGGAAGAATTGAGGATGGTGAAGATGGAGATTCGACGACTGACCGAGGAAAACAAGAAGATTCGGAGTAGTCCTCCTGTTTTGAGTCCTCAGGTCAAGAAGGGAAACTGGTCAGTGGCTGGACAGCAGGGAACGAAGTTGACAATCAAGAAGACAAATGGAAAGGTAGAAACGATGAAGAAGAAAGAGACTGCTGTGGAAACTGTTGTGGAAACATCTAATACATTCTCAGTGCTACCCGGCAATGTGAGTCGACTACTGGGAACTTCACGACGAATGACACCAAGGAAGGTAAGAATATTGTTGTTGTTGGGGATAGCCAAGTTAGGTACAGTGGTCCCCCGCTTTTCATAGTTCCCGGCAATCGTAAATTTTGCCAATCATAGGGGTATTTTCGTATAAACATGGACTCGCTTTTCATAGGTTGACTTACGAGTCGTAGTTCGTCCGGGACGCGTACCCACGGCGTGAACTGGGGCAGCAGCCAGTCTGGCATTGTTTACCAGTGAGCGAAGGTCCCCTCACGTGCTCCAGCGAAATATTTCATAATATTCCATTTATTTTAGTGCTTGCAAGTACAGGTCACCTCTGAGTTAAGTACACTTAAATGTGCGTGGATGTAGTGCGGATGACAAGAAACAGATGATTGCTGATGTTATGAATGAAAAGAAGTTGGATGTCCTGGCCCTAAGCGAAACAAAGCTGAAGGGGGTAGGAGAGTTTCAGTGGGGGGAAATAAATGGGATTAAATCTGGAGTATCTGAGAGAGTTAGAGCGAAGGAAGGGGTAGCAGTAATGTTAAATGATCAGTTATGGAAGGAGAAAAGAGAATATGAATGTGTAAATTCAAGAATTATGTGGATTAAAGTAAAGGTTGGATGCGAGAAGTGGGTCATAATAAGCGTGTATGCACCTGGAGAAGAGAGGAATGCAGAGGAGAGAGAAGATTTTGGGAGATGTTAAGTGAATGTATAGGAGCCTTTGAACCAAGTGAGAGAGTAATTGTGGTAGGGGACCTGAATGCTAAAGTAGGAGAAACTTTTAGAGAGGGTGTGGTAGGTAAGTTTGGGGTGCCAGGTGTAAATGATAATGGGAACCCTTTGATTGAACTTTGTA